TGATTTAATCTTGTAATCTTTCGAGTACAGGGGTAATCAAGGCACAGGTGCAACCCTCACAGGCACCCAGGGGGCCGTGCCCTGTGATTTGGGGGTGCTGTGAGGCCCGCTACTAAGGGGTTACCCTTCCTGCCAGCTACTGGACTGATGTGCTAGGTCCTGGCCAGGGGTGGGGAAGTCCAGCCAGGCATCTCCCGTTCTATTGACTGGCTACCCTAACTTGGAGGACAAGGGACCCCTAAGAGTACTGAACCTCAGTACTACTCTGTATGCACCTGGATCAAGGGTGAGTGAAAGGCTCACCTTTCTCCTGTCAGTTGCCTGTTGAATGATGCCGGTCCCAGATCTGTCCCCCTGAGATGCCACCTTGACCCTCCCTGCCCCTGTGATCAGGCTTCTGCTGGGAGTTGGGACAAGAAGGGGAGGTCAGAAGAGGCCTTGAGTTGCAAGGGGTCATAGGACCTGGCTGTCCCAGAGAGACAGGGGAGCCGAGTCTCCAAGTCCCTGACACATGCTTCACTGTGCCATTGGACTTCACTTACAAAACACGAATTCAAAGAAACAGCAAGTGAAAGTTTCAATACAGCAGCTACTGAGCCTTAAACCCCAACTTTGGGGCCTATTAGAGTCTGGGCTCCATAGTGTGGCAGTGGGCCTGCCCCCATGAGTTCTTCCAAGGCTGATAAACTTACACAGTGAAGGGGGAGGGAGACAATCTCCCTAGGCTGCTCACTGGACTGCTTTGGTGTGAACTCCTGAGACCCGTCCTGGGTCACGTTCCATGCTGGGGCTTTGTCCGCAGGGACAGCACTCTCTTTCCCCCGTCGCCCTCTTCCTTGTACTTCTGAAAGTACGCCTGTGTCTCCTCGAGGTTGGTGATGAAAACTCTTGGTGGAGGTGGAGAGGTGTGGGAGGCTCCAGGGCAGAGGGGCCTCTTCCCAGAAAAGCTCTGGGAGCTCTCCATTAACACTATCCCTTCTCAATCTTTTTTTTTTTTTTCCTTCTCAAACAGCTATAGAAGTGTTGGACATGAAACCGTGCTTGGTACTTGCTCTGAACTTCTCCACTGCTCCTACAACTGAGTCTGAGAAAGTGTCACTGAAATGGATGTCCTAGCCCAACCTACTCTTGGGTGACACGGGTCCATGTTGGGTCCTGTTGGGGGCCCAGGCTAGGGAGAAGGTGACATTTTTCTCTAGGTGTCCAACCACCATTCAGCCCCTTTAGTGTTCAGTTACTGAGAGCTTGACCCCAGGCCTCAAGCACAGTGCTGGTCCTGAGGAGCCAAAGAAGATCAGGGAGGGCTTCACAGTGGAGGTGCCATTGAAACAGACATGAAAGATGAGGAGGTGCACAGAGGGGAGGAAGTGGTTGCAGATGGAGGAGAATGGGCTGCCAAGGGGAGAGGGTAAGGGAGTGTTGTGAAGTGTCAGGAATGCTGGGAAAAGGTGTCTGGACAGACAGGCAGGAAGCTCCAGGCCACGAGATCCAAGTGAGGGCAGAGGAGCCCAGGAGCATTCGGCATGCGTGGCTGCCTCTGAGCCCCCACGAGAAGAAGGCGGCACATTCTGCAGTAAATGGACTGTGGAGGTTGTGGGGGGCTGATCTCTAGGCCAGAAGGGTGACAGTGCCTGGGGGATGGGTCCCTCCTGAGCTCTATGGGGACTGGCGGGTGGGAGTCTAGGGCTCCATGACCTGCACCCAGGGAGGCAGTGCGCCCCACTCCCCGAGGGAAAGGCGTCATTTCTCAGTGCCCAGAAGCTGGGCCTGCTGTTTGGGGCTAGATGGGGCTTAGGAGGAAGCTATCTCCCGCGGCCCTTGGGTGATGAGGACACTGCTGGGGGATGGGGGAGTAAGGGATCATTTTAAGGCCCTGAAGGGGGCCATGGTCCCCATAGCAGCCCCAGGGCCCATGGCCCAGCTCCCGGGGGGGCGGGTCCTCTTTGAGAACACCACGCCGCACGCGCACAGCCCTTCATAATCCATGCACCCCCTTTCACATCTTCTTTCAGTTCATGCTCACAGTGGCCCCTTTCCACTGGTGAGGTGTTCATCCATCTCAAAGACAGGGAAAGGGAGGTGTGGGGTGGATGTGCCCCTCACATGGACGAACCAGAGCCAGGATTTGAAGGGAACAGGTCCCTCTCAGTGCTGACCTTTGATTGTGTATGTGACTCTAGGTATCTGCAGTGCCAGGAATGAAACTGTCTTTCTAGGCTATTAGCCACTGATTTTACTAAGTATATGACACTCAGTTAACTCCCTAACAACTCCACACGGTAGATATAGTGACGCCCAAATTGCAAATGAGGAAACAAGCTCAGAGAAGTTATATAACTGACTCAAAGCCACCCAGCTGGAAGGTAGCAGAGCCAACATCCAAATTCAGGTTCCCCTGACCTTTCCATGTGCCTCAGTGAGCCTAGTATGTGAGGGCCTAGACACACAAATGACACAGGACAACATGGCAACTGCCGCAGTGGGTGTGTGTGCAGGCTGTCACAAGGCCACAGAGGCAGAGTCAGGCCGAGGGCACGTGGTGTGTGCATGGCCTCCCGGGTAGGTGGTGTGGCTGGGACAGAGGTGACTTTGGAGGGCCCTGTGGACTGAGCTCAGGGTTGTGGGTTTAGTCCATCGGTGAGGAGCAGCCCAGAGGGTTCGGGCAGGGTCATAACGCAGAATTTGCATTATGGATTGCATGTGTCTGAAAGATCACTCTGGTGATGGGATGGAGAATACCAGGTATTAGTAAAGCTGAAGGGGGCGGCCTGGAGGCGGATCGCCCACATGGGTCAGTTTTGTAGCAGCAACAGAGGAAAAACTGTGTGTCTTTCTCAGATATGTGGGATTTTCTTTTTTTTTTTTTTTTGATGAAACAGAGTTAGATATGGCTGGAGGACTGGGCCATGTGGAACAGAAATAATTCCATTTTACAGGTTGTTCTAACTGTATCTTCAAGTCTGTGTTTCATAAAAGAGGAAAAAGGGAACTCTGTATTCATAGCTAGAATCTCAAGTCACTTAAAATGAAAATGGCCTCTATTTGGGGGTTGACTGTCTTGGTGTCCAGCCCACAGCACTGTACCTGTACACTCTCAGTATGCACTTTTCTGATCTGTAGTCTACCTATGGGCAGGACCTATGCAACTTATTTATCTATGGACTTGCTGGAATACCCATGGCATCATTATACCCATTTTACAGATAAGGAAACTGAGGCTCAAAGAAGTTGGGCAAGCTGCTGAAGCCTCTGAAGCCAGATTAAGTCAGTCTCTGTTGAACATGGACTAAGTTTTGTCACTGTACTTTTTGACTTAGGAATTGGGACATTTGACTTATAAAAAGTCTGTGTGGCAGCTGAGTGCAAGAAATTATCTGGCAGGAGCTGAAATATTGGAATATTCCAATAAGGAAATATTGGAATAGGGGCATTCTGGTGGCTTGTAGGACACAAATATTTGGAATTATTACTGTTGGAGAGAACCCTGGAGGAATGGCTGGCTGAAATTTGTCAGCTTCAAGGCCCCAGGCTGCTCTGAGATGGCTCTCCTCACAACACAGATGGATGTGAGCAGAACAGCTCTGAGGAAGAGCCAAGAGGACAGTGTTGGATGTCGTGGGCACTGTGCTGTCTGCGGGCACCAGCTGGCAGTGGAGAGGCCTCTAGGGGGCGAAGTGGGAGGCAAGAGGGGCAAATGAGGAGCGCCTGAGTGTGTCTGCCCAGAGTCACCCAGTCACACACGAATGAAGGTCTGTGATCCCGCTGGGGGCTGTGTGCTGAGCCCCAGAGTGCCAGGGGTCTGAGCTGGCAGTTCCTGGCTGGGCTAGAGGCTGATTTAGCTCAGAGGGATGCCAAGGCCAGCATTTGTGGGCGGAGGGGAACAGAGAAGCCAGCCACCCACAAAGAGACAGATGAAAGTGCAAAGCTGGCTGCGGGCCCAGTGTCAGAACCACAGGCTGCAAGCAGATGTGACTGATGATCTCAGCGCCCTGCAGAACCACCCTGGACAGGTCCTGACCAAGCAAGGAGAAAACCTCTGTGCCCTGCCCTGGTCAATAAGGTAGCCACTGGCCACTTGTGGCTGTTTAAATTTAAAGGAATGAAAATGAAATAGAAGAAAAACATCAGTTCCTCAGTCTCATTAGCCACACATCAAGTGCTCAATAGCCAGAGATAACTAGATGGTATAGATACAGGACATTTCCATCATTGCAGAACTTTTATCCCAATGTTAATTATCTCAGTAATAATTTTAGTGTTGATTATATGTTGAAATAACATTTAAAATATAATGAGTTAAATAAAATACACTAATATGAACCTCACATGTTTCTTTTTACTTTTATTACTGTGGGTAGTAAATTTGTCAATGACGTGCATGGCTCAGATTTCTACGGGACAGCCCCGAATTGATGCAAGTAGGAACACGCCTCCATTTAGCCATCGTTTTTAATGCCACAGCCATTTGGTGGTGATGATGGCTTGACAATGGCTGTAAAAACCATTCCGCTTGATGATGGCTGTAAAAACCCTTTCTTAACACAAAGTTACAGAGTCAGCCTAGGCTGAGGGGAGAAATGCAAGCTTTGGAGCTGGGACAATTTAGGTTCCCATCTCAGCTCTGTTTCCCCATCGGCTGTGTGGTTTGGGGCACATAACTTCTTTGTGCCTCAATTTTCTCCTCTAAAAATGCAACCAGTGAACGATCCTCTCTGCACAGTACTGCTTTGAACCCTAGAGGAGACAGTGTCTGCAGAGGGTCTGGCATGGGCCCGGCCCTGAGGGCACTTTAATAAATGGTGCCCCCTTTGATTCTTTTTATCATGGTCATTAATGTTTTTAGCACGGAAGTGTAAGGGGTTATGGTGAGTCTCTCTGGCCTCAGGGCACTCACTTCCCTGCCGCCCAGCCGCACCGCGCCTCAGCACCCTTGCTCTCTTTAATGCCCCCCAGAGATGGGGCAGCAGGCAGCCAGTCAGCATCCTCTCTCAGGCACTCACCTGCTGGCAGCTGCTGGCCCATGAGGCCCGGAGGGCGCCCCAGTTCTCTGAGCGCGTGGCTTTGCTCTCCAGGTGCATGCGCAGCTGTGCCTCCAGCTCCTGGCTGACTTTCTCCAGGGCGTGTACCTTGGCCATGTATTCCACCAGGCAGCCCCCCAGGTCCTCGGCCGCACCGAGGTCCCTCTCCAGGCTGGGAGCGGGTGCCGTGGCCAGGCCTGAGCTCCGCAGGCCCTGCAGGAAGACGCTGCTGATGCCCAGGGCCCTGCGGGTCACGCGGGCACCCAGGCCACCTGTGGGCCCACTGGGTGTCATCCCTACGTAGACCCTGGGTGTTCGGACAAGACCACCCACGGCAATGGTCCTGGAAGCTGGGAGGCCGTCCAGGGAGGACGGTGACTGAGCTGCCCTGAAGGACACCTTGTGCCTCTGCAGAGGCATGCTGGAGCCGGCCCCCGCGGGCGCTTCCACCACCACCCGCCGTGTGCTCATCTCCCCTTCTGCCTCTGCTGTGCCTGGTGAACTAACAGAGCCCAGTGGTTTTTGGTTTCCAGCCCCAGCATCCCCGTGACTGGGCCTCTCTGGAAGCTTCCCTGTGCCAGGGCTGCTTTGTCTGCTGTTTTCCATGAGTTTCCACCATTCACCAAGCTGAAAGGGAAACGGCCCGCCCAGGGCTGTGTGCAGAGGCGCTCAGGCATTCTCAGCAGGATCATGTGCCTGACCTCCTAGATTTTTCTGCGGGTGGTGGGGAGGCTGGATCCGTGTAGGCCATGGGGGTGGCTCCTCTGGGCCTGTGTATTTCACTATCTATGAGGGCAAGGCCAGCACCCAGCAGTTCCATTTCACAGATGACAAAACTGAAGCTCAGGGCCATTAGATCAGAAGTAGAGAGAGCGGCTGGGCCAGGACTGACTCCATGTGCTTCAGGGCTAACGTCAGGGCTCACCAGCCTTACCTGCGCTGCGTGTGTGACTGTGGACATGTGCCTGGAGATGACTGGGAACCAGCCTTGGTGGGAGGCAGCCCCAGGGACTCAAAAGAAACAAACTAAGCCTGTTGCTTCTTTCAGGCTCCCTCAGACCCAGCAGCAAATTCAGGTCCCTGCCTGGCACCCCTCTCCCCCGAGCACGGTGTTCATCAGTTGCTTGACCTTAACCACACTGTTTCCCTCCTCTGCACCTTATTTTCCACGCACTGGCTTGGGCTGTAACTTGCTGATGTGCTAGAAAGGGACTGTGGGCAAATTCAGTTCTCACACATGTTGGCCATATGTGCTCTGGATGTTCCCTGCGTCTTGGTTTCCCCATTTGCCAGAAAGCTGGTAAAAAAAAAAAAAAAAGTTTTCTGGTTAAAAATCTTAAAGGGTACTCCAGGCTAGTGTTGGATTGACACCCTTTGGGCTTTTTTATTGGATGACAGCTTCTGGGCTAATTTATGCCTTCAGTACCCAGAAAGGCTCTTGCAGTCCCCAAGGTAACAAAATGGATCTAAAATCCACTGCATTTAAGTTTAACCCTAGAGAAATGAAGTAACCAAAACCCAGATCCTGCAATGTGGGGACACAGCTCGAGGAGAGAAGGGGAAATGGTGAGCTGAATGCAGCCAGTACTGTGCACATTCCCATGCTTACTACACTGAGTTCTCAACTTGACCTCAGTAAGTAGGATCAAGGTTGACATGCACTGCCATTAGGGCTGTTCACTGCACAACTCCAGGAGTATCATCACACGGCCTATGACCACCTGTTCTCCCTTGTGTGATGAGAGTCCTGAGAGTTGTGTGACTTACCTAAGTCTCCTGTCCAGGAAGCGGCAGAGTTGGAATGAGAAGTCTTCTGACTCCAGATCCAGTGACTTATCTAGGACCCACCCTGTCTCCTAACACCCCGAAAACAGGGTACCTGCGCAAGGGCACACACGCAGAGTTAAAAAACCTGGTCACTTACTGGAACATTCTATGTGCTCTTTCCTTTTTTCCCCCTTCTACTTTTTCTATTTGAAATGACATGGAAAGTATTTTATGAATATCAATGTTGAGTATATGATTATCAGGTTAAGTAACCAATTAGATCAAGTAAAGGCTGGCAGTGCCTCTTGTTTATTTAGACGAGGCTTTCTTGCTGTGAACAGAAAGCACCCTTTCTTGGTGTACCCTGAAGGCCCATGGTTCCCACTAGTCTGCCTTATAATGACATCCTCCTAAAACAGGTGATGCTAATGGGCCCCAGGAGCTGCAGGAATTCCAGGATGGATCATTCAAGAATGAACGGAGGGCTCAAGCCACAAAAATTGTTTGCAAGGGTGCCACGTTTAGGCACTGTTACTCTATGAAATGGTGACACTCTGTGGTCAGGGTAACTTCAGATTTCTCTGACTGAAGATATTTACAATACGGTGCAGAGTCTGGCGGGGGGGGGGGGGGGCGGGGGACGGTGCGGATGAGGAGGATGTATCTTGACACCAATATCTCCAAAGACCCATAGTCAAATGACTTTTGGGGGAGAAATCCCAAGATGTCCTACATAATTTGTTTTATCAAATGATAAATGGCTATTAGCTCATCACACTAATCCAACTTACTGTTAAAATAGATTAAAAAATACAGATGGACACATGGGGTTGGTACTTAAGGAAGCCTTAAAAGTTATCTAAAAATGAAAAGAAGGCAGAATGTATTAGCAACTTAATCCTCTGGCTAATAAAATAAGTTTATTTATATATACATGATAGCTGAATTCTGTGTATAAGGAAAAATAAGTCATACATCCCACATATGTATATATAACATATGTATCTCTGATTACATATATTATATATAAATTCTACTTTACAAACAGATTTCTTTCTCTATATACACACACATTGATATTTTAAATGCAATCACTGACAGAAATATATGATAAGGTTGAAAGATCAGACAGCAATGCGCTGGGAAATGAGTCTCAGAGCAACATGTAACCTGCTTCCTTGTGGGTTGAAGAGTCTTTGAAGAGAGACAATCACCAAACTCATGTTAAGTACATTCATATGACATTGAGAACACACAAGTTTAAAGGCCATTTTTTTAAAAGGAAAATGTAGGAAAGGAAAAAGTTATGATAAAAAGACCACAGCAATAACACGAACATATGACTCAACATTCAAGTTCAGGTCCCAATCTGACTATAAGAACATCTATAATCAAAATATACTATCAAACTATCTTTCATTTAGAGAAAGGAAGTGTCAAAGCAGTTATCTTCTCTATCAGCCACTATGTATTAGGGAAAAAAATGGATAAGCAGCCATCTCTGGAAGCCCTTCTCCTGTCTCCGGGGGTCTGAGCCTTGTTGGTTTGTGGACCCCACGGTGGGGGTGGGGCAGCGGGAGACCACCCAGGGAGAGACCAGTGAGAGGTGAAGACCCCTGGTGACCCCCAGGCAGGTTTGCAGGGCCCAGCACAGATACAGTGATGTCTTCTGAGAGATCCGCCTTGGCAATCTTGTTATTTTAAGATCCTGGGAGGAAGGTTTAGAAAACTACAGCTCCACACTCCAAGGCTTCATCCACAAACACGTTCCTCAGGGGTGTGATGCGATGGTCTTTTGAGAAAACAAAGGTGAACCCCCAAACACTGGATCCTTGAGGAAGGGCAAGCATTTCAAAGCTCCGGGGCTGGGATCCACATCCAAACCGTCTCCAGAGAAAGGCACCGTGTCTAATACATTTGCGGGTGGTGGGAGAATGTGGGTACACACTTGGAGGGGAGCCTCCTGCTGGCGGAGGGGAAAGTAGTTCTGTTGTTAGCACAGTGGGGCTCCCTGCGGGGGATGTCAGGGGCGTGGCCTGAGGACACTGCGGTCCTCATCCGCCTCCACACTGCAGCCTTTGTCCACACCGCGGATGGAATTACCCTCGACAGCGAGCGGTGCCGTCACAGGCCCAGGGCTCCCTCTTCCTTGTCCGCCAGCGTGCTTCTAGGTGCCCAGCTCCCGTCACTGAGGTGCGGATGAGGGGACGGAAATGGGGTCCTTCACATTGAATCAAGAGGAACTAGAGCTGTAAGAAGCCTCCGAGGCCCTGCACTTGGCCATTTTAATATCCGCTGGTACAGGCCAGTCTCTTCTCTCACCTGCCTGGGGCTGCTGGGACCCCCACGTACAAGGACAGTTATTAAGAGAAGCAATCAATGCAACTGCTTTGCTTAGAAATACCTTTATTTTATAAAGGCCATGGATTGTTCCGCCAAGATTTTTTTTTTTTTTTTTTTAAACCACACTTATAAAAAAGATGTTGACAATTCTTAGGAAAAAAAAGCTGCTGAAAATGTTTCTCATCAAGTCAGGGGTACACAAAGATTATATTTATAGTATATATTTGTATACTGATAAGTTAGAGATGAAAGGTAGGGACTGGTAAAGCGAGGGCTGCTGCAGTTAGATCTCCGATACTTGATCATTTCCCACAAAGAGCGTTTCTTGGCAGAAGGGGTTAACGAGGACCATCCCGGTGTCTCTGTAGTCGCCATTGGCCGGGGAGCGGGGCTCCGACAGCTGGTCCTGGAGGCCAGAGGGAGGAGACAGGGTGAGCTGGGGAGGGCTCATCAGGTGGCCATTGTCACATACCCACCAGAACATTTACTTCCGCTTGGGAGTGCGTGGTAAACATGAAAAAAGTCGTTGAAATATAGTTGACATACAAAGTTACATGAGTTTCCAGTGTACTACATAGTGATTTGACATTTACACATATTATGAAATGCTCACCATGATAAGCCTAATAACCATGTGCCCTCAAAGTTATTACAATATTATCAACCATATCCCTTATGCTGTACCGTTACATCCGTGAGGCTTATTATTTATTATATAACTGGAGGTTTGTTCCTCTTAATCCCCTTTACCTGTCTTACCCTTCATCTTAACCACTTGTCATCATCCTCACTGCTGATGCTGGGGTTCAGAGATCTGTCTGCTCTTTTTTCAGATCCTTATAGCAGCTTCCAAAGAAGAGTTCCTGCTTCCTGAATCATCTCCATTTTAGGCTGCAAGAGGTGGCATTGCTCTCCATGCATCACACATGGCGTACAGCTTGCTGCCCTAGTGGGCAAAACCTGGTCCACGTGGGCCCGGGACTCTCCTTCCACCTTTTCTCCACAGACCTCCAGGAGGCCTCACCACTTTTCTTTCCTGAACACACCCAACGCTTGCTCTCCTCTTTCTTCTCCTGAGACCCACCTGCCAGAACCTACAGAGCTCATTCCACCCTCCCGAGTCCTCCTAGAGCCTGGTCGGAATGCTATGCCTGTTTCTTATAGCACTGGCTGTGTTGAGCTGAATGGATCTGAATTTCTGTGTGTGACTGCACAATAGGTGAGTGAAAAATTCTGTCCATCTACACAGCCCCAGGAATGGGAAAGCCTGGAAACAGACAACCTGCTCAGGTCATCTGAATGACTTGGCCTCAGCCATGGAGGCACATGGGGGCTATGCAATAGCAGTTCTCAGACCCCAGCCCAGGTGTTGACATAGAGGAAAAAAAGCCACAGTTTGTTCCAGTTCTACACAACGGAAGCCTCAGAGCCTGCAGGCTATTGTAGGGCAAAGACTCAGTGGCAGACTTGGGTGTAACTGGTTTAGGCCAGACCAGCTTAGAAATGGCTTCAATTTAAGATGTCATGATTAATACTCTGAAATTTATTTTTAAACAAAACATGCAGACTTTGTTTTTGTTTTCACTGCACTATACTCCCCCCAAAATGAATAAAAAGCTTGCAATTTTTGACGAGCACATATTATTTATGGGTAAAATAAGGAGAGAAAGGAAGAAAGGCCAATTGTTGTAAAATGTCTTCAGAAGACAAGAATTTCCTTCACTTATCTTAGGGGTGGACATGGGGCCAGCTGTCTAAGAGAGGAGACCAGGGTGGTGTGTCAGTGAGGGGACAGAAATCCTCTTTCTCCGCTGGGCTTTGGGGTTAAGCTGATGGGGAGTTTGGAGCCTGAGATGTGCTGTGGTTTTACAGTTCTCACAAGAGTTTAAGGGCAAACCATGTGGGGGAAGTTATTCTGTGTAAAAAAAAAGAGAAAGTTATGTAGAAAATAACTAAGGCAGGAAGGAAAAACAAAAAGGAAGGAGGGGAGGGAAAAAGAGGAGAAAGCATGAAAAAGTTTCCAAATACTTCTGGGCACCACAATTCTGCCCACACAATTCTGTTTTGCTGTTTTCATCAGCCCAGCAGGGGAGCGGGGTGCCAGGGAAACTTGCTTAGGCGAAGCACTTGGCAGCCTCCAAAGCTGGCAGCCTGGCAGTGAGCTCATGGCCCTATGACTGCAGTGGCTGTATGGGTGGGCAGGGCCTCTGTGCCCAGGGGACAGGGGACAGCTGCTGTTACTGGGAATACAGCGGAACAAGGGGAGCAGGCCGACTGGGAGAGGGTGAGAAACCCACTCTGAAGCCAGCCAAGCTTGGTGCTGCTGCAGCCCCCTGACCTGGCTCCTAGCAGGGCCTCTGGCCTGTGCCCCGTGGTGGCCTGGGGCTGTGGGTGCTGTGTTTACCAGCACTGTCCTCTGGCTTCTGGTTTTCATTTACCAATTTATAAGCAGTTTAGGGTCCAGGGGTACAGAGCCCACACTCAAAGTGGGCCAGCCTTTGGGCCACGCTACCTGTATTTTTATTTTTTTTTCATATCAATTCAAACCTATTACAGGTTTTTATTATTATTATTAGTTCTAACATTTTTTTTAATTAGTTGGAGGGTAATTACTTTACAGTATTGTAGTGGGTTTTGTCATACATTGACATGAATCAGCCATGGATTTGCATGTATTCCCCATCCCGATCCCCCCTCCCACCTCCCTCTCTACCCGATCCTTCTGGGTTTTCCCAGTGCACCAGGCCCGAGCACTTGTCTCTTGCACCCAACCTGAGCTGGTGATCTGTTTCACCCTAGATATTATACATGTTTCTATGCTGATCTCTCGAAACATCCCACCCTCGCCTTCGCCCAGAGTGAAGTAAGCCAGAAAGATAAAGACCAAGTTACCTGTATTTTTTTACTCACTGTGACAGTTTTCAGGAACACTCCTGCCACCGAATTGTACCGTGGCCACACTAAAGATCAATGCCATTGTAAGGCCTGTCCCTCTGTCCTTCAGCTAATTTTTATTTTTTTTTTTTACTGAGTGTCCACTGTGTGTCAGGCTTTGGGGTGGATGATGGGTAGATTGTGAGCAGAGTTCACTCACGTGATGACCATTTACTGAGTACCTACCACGTGCTCAGTACTGTTCTAGGAGCTGGGCATGGGGTGTGAGGAAGCCTCCTGCCCTGGGGCAGCATGGGTTCTAGTAGGTGAGATGTCTACTCAGCAGTCAACAGAGAGAGCAGGGTACAGTGCCGGGTGGGGAGAAGTTCTGAACAAACACGAAGCAGGGTGGGAAGAGAGCATGGTGGGTGGGAGGAAGGTGGGATTATAACCTGTGTCGAGCAGTCAGGGAAGGCCTCTCTGAGGAGGTGGCACTGCAGCAGAGGCTTGGAGGAAGTGAGAGATGGAGGTAGCTGGGAGAAGAGCATTTCAGGCAGGTGCCAGGACGAGCTTACTCTAGGGACTGAGACCTGTACTCCTGGGGGGCCTGGCAGAGCGGGAGGAGGTAGCCGGGGCCAGCCTGAGAAAAAACCCGTTAGGAGGAATCTGGACTTTGTCCAGAGTGTGAGGAGGATCCCTGTGAGGCCTGGAAGTCATGACTGACGTGAGGTCCTCCCTTGCAAAGCTGGTCTGGCTGCTGGGTGGAGGACAGACTGCGAGTGGGGAGTGGGGGTGGGGGTGGGGGCAGACAGCGGCTGGGAGAGCTGTTTGCAGAGCGGTGGCAACAATCCAGGGTTCGAGGGATGACGGCAGCCCGGGAGGGTGTCGTTGGGGTGGGGGATGGCCACAGTGCTGGTACTGAGACCTGCTCATCTGGAGGAAAAGCCAACGGACTAGTGGCTGTTGACAGATGGGATGTGGGGTGTGTCAGAGGAGAAGGTGGCCAGCAGTGCCATCTAATCATGAGAGACACCAGGGGGCTTCTGGGTGTTGAGGTGGTGGGGAAATGCTGAGAAATCAGTCTTGGGCTGTTCATTAAATATGTGCATTGGTAGCTGGGCACATGGGTCTGGAGCCCAGGGGAGATGGCCAGGCTAGAGCAGAACTTGGTAGTCATGGTGACAGATGGGACTTAAAGTCATGGAACTCTCTCATAGAGAAGAGAAGCAATGGGAGCACTCAGCCTGGGCCCTCCTGTGACTGGAGCTTGGAGAAAGGACAGGGGACCGTGATGGAGATTAAGCAGGAGCTGCTGGGAGTGGGACGGAACAGTGAAGAAATGTTTTAAGGAGGAGATGACTGAATGTGCCAATACTGCTGGTAGGCGGAGTAAAGTCAGTGCTTGAGAACTGCCCCTCGGGGTTAGCAGTGTGGGGGCAACTGGCTATTCTAGTGGGGGAGAGAGATTCAAAACTGTCCTATCAGACCAGTGGCTGTGTAATTACAACGCTGGTACGTGCCACAGTGGAAAAGCACAGGAGCTGAGACCTGATGATAGGAGGAGGCACCCAGCTCGGCAGTCAGGGGAGGCTTCCCTGAGGAGGTGACGGTTGGAGTGCACCCTGAGTGGCAGGTAGGAGTCACTGAGTGGACAGTGAGGGGGATGCCCAGGAGGGACAGGAGACATACCAGGGGAGGGAAGAGCTTCTGCACAGCCCTGGAGTGGGATATAACTTGGTGCCATAATGAAGTGAAAAGAAATCCAATGTCATCTGACCTTCGCAGATGAGGCAAAGCATGATATGAGGCTGGAGGGTTGGGTGGGGACAGGTTCACCTCACAGGCCCTGAAAAGACTTTGAACTTCAGCTTACCAGCAATGGGAAGCTATGGAAGAGTTTTGAGCACAGGTGTGATGTGATCACAGGCATGTCTCTAAAAGCTCACCTGGATGCTGGGGGGATGGGTCTGCAAGAGGGGAGGGGACTGTTCCACCAGAAGCAGGCTCAGCCCCACCCCCATCTTTACTTAGCTGTCCACCACCCTTCTCCCGGGCCATCTCAACTGCATCCCTTATTGATTTCTCATCTGTCTTTCTGTCCTCTCATCCATTCAGCCATCCACTAAACCATCCTTCCTTTCCTTATTCATTCACTGATGATGACCATCAGCACAATCTTTCTACAACTAGGTCACAAAAAGCTTAACTTTCAGACTCTCCGCTGTCGGGGACTAATGCACAAACTCCATCCAACTTCACCCAAGGCCGTGCCTAATCATCTACCTCTCCTGGGGCACCCTGGCCCCTGCCCCACCCTTCTGTGAGAGTGGAAAGAGCAGTGGTCTCTGTAGTCAGAACACCGGGTTCAAAGTCCAGCTCCCTCATTGGCCGGGCTGGGGTTTCCTGCACGCACTCACCCTGCCAGCACTTGCTCTATGAGGCTCTCCTCCATAGGTTTCACAGCCCTCTAACTCTCCCCAAAACCCCCTCATATACTACTCTCCCTGTATTATCTGAATGATGCCAAGGTCCAGTACCTTAACCACATCTCAGAGCCTGGACCCTTGGGAGCAAGCTCCCACCTTCACAGTCCCCTGAACGCCTGCCACCAAACTGTCCTCAATGAACAGTTGTTGGCCTGTTCCCAGAAACCCAAAGTCCCAAGAAACATGCCTCGCCAAGCAGATGCCCATTTGACAGGGCGGGGCCCCGCGGCTCAGGCCCTAGCAGGTTCCTGCCGCCAGGAGGAGGCTGGAGAGGCGAGTGGGTGCTCCTCCCCCAGTGGCGATGCTCCCTGGGGCAGCCCTTGGTTTGGGGCTCATTACCTCAGAGGTTTCCAGGGACTGGATTTCCCTGGGAAGCTCCACGGCATGCTTGCTGAAGTAGTCCATGGTGATGGCGTTGTTCCAGTAGCTCAGACTGTTCTCGGGGTTGGCTGGCTTCTTCTTCCTCCGCAGGCAGCACACGGTCAGCAGGACCGCTGCAGAGAGAGTCCCGGTTAGAGAGAGGGAGGGGCGGGGAGCCGGGCCAGCATCGTGGAGGGAGGGAGGCCAGCCTCCAGGTGGGGCTGTGACAGCCACACATCCAGCCACTTGCCCCACTCATTGATTCGCTTGTTCATTAGCTCAACAAACACCTATAAACGTGGAGCGCCTGCTCTGTGCCAGGTGCTGGGGACGGGGGAGAGAAGAAAAAGATAGGACCGCCCTGCTCTCATAGGCTTTCCTCCTAGCTTGTGTATGGAGGGTGCACGAGGGTTAGACAGTATAGGAAGATAACTGTTCAGAGAAGGGGAAACACGGGGAAGTGAGGGAGACAGCCGAGGGGAGCTGCAGGAGGGGTTCCATCGTGAAAAGCTTCCCTGAGCAGTGACCTTACGGCTGAGACTGGCAGGTGGGGAAGGAGCTGGCCATGGGTGGAACGGGGCAGTGCGTCCAAGTGGAGGGAGCAGCACGCTCAAGGGTCCTGAGGTGGGGACAAGCTGCATGTATGTGAGGAAAAGCAGCATGGCTGGGGTGCGGTTGGTGTGGGAGCGAGTGAGGTGGGACGTGAGGCCCAGGGGCAGGAGGTTTGCATGGAATTTCGGATACCTGGGCATGTTGCAGTGCCAGGGAGTTCGCTCCAAGGAAAGCCTTGTGCTCTCACTGGGAGGGCTCCCCAGAGCTCAGCTGCAGGAAATGACACGTATGTGCGAAGCTGCACCTCAGGACTGAGGAGGCGTGTTCCCGAAGCAGGAGTGTGGAGTAGAGATGAGCAGAGCCCAGGGAACTTTACAAATGGGCCTTGACTTCTACAGAGGGCAGAGGCTCAGAGCAAAATCTCTAGGCAGAAGTCTTGGACCCTGATAAAACTATTGCTCCGGTCTCATTACCACCACCATCATCAAAAACAAATAGCTGCTAACAGTCCTAAAGCATGTATGTAGGGCTCCAGCACTTTAGAAACATGAATTCATTTAATCCTCCTTGTAACTCCATGAGGTCGGTACTACAAGGGTCACTATTTTACACACAGGATAATGGAGACTTAGAGAGGTGAAGTGACTTGCCCAAGAGCAAATCCAGATGGCTCCAAAGTCCATGCTCTCAACCATCCATGATTCTGCCTCACAAAGACAGGCCAAATGCTGACATGGAAACCTGGCTGCACACAGAGGTCTGATCCAACTCCACACAGCTCGATGTGCCACCCTGCTTGTTCAGTCTCGGACCCTCGGGGGCACGGGAGGAAGGAGCATGTTTGGAGGCTGCTGCTGAACCACGTGTGAAAAGAGTGGCTTGGACATGCTGACAGGAAAGGCTTCCAAGTTTGGAGAGCTGGGGTGGCCTGTCCAGGGTCTTACAGGGGAACAGGAGATGCAGTGCCCCAGGGAGACAGGAGCCGTCTTGGGGAGAAGCCAGTCAATGAAGACTGGGCATCTCCTGCCCAGGCTAGCCATCCCCAGAGCCCATGGGGTGGCTGAAACTCTGGATCAGGGGTAGGCATGGTTGCACTCAACATCCTGGGGGTGCCCATCATCCGTGCTGGAGGGTGAAGGGCAGGCTGAGCTGTCCATAGTGGCAGTGGCCACCAGGGGGCAGTGGAGGCCTGTCTCTGCCCACAGTGCCAGAAAGGCTTGGTGGTTTTGGGGGCCTAGGCATGCCAGGGTGTGAGGGAACTGCAAAAGTTGGCATCCACACAGGTTGAGACCTCAGGGCCCAGAGCCCAGAGACTTGCAGGCTGACTGAGGAATTCTGTAGCTCTTTCCTGCTGCTGGCCTTGCTGGCATCTCTAGCTGAGAAGGCTTCCAGGCAAGATCAAGAGATTGGGCAAGTTTCCATTCCATCCAATCTGCTTTGATCAAAAAGACTTCTACTTTTCTTACCATTCTTCCAGGTCTTCTCAAAAATGTTTTAAAAATAGAAAGCCAATTTCTGAATACTTGAGCTCAAAGACGTTTTTAGATCGGCTGGTAGAGATTCTTTCAAGCTTTGTGGGTTTCCTCCCTTCCTTCCAAAGAGCCCTTTTTTCAACTGGTTGAAGGAAGAAGGGGTGAGGAGAGAGGCTGCAGAGTCAGCCTGAAAACCTGCTAATTTAGGGCACACCTACCTGTTCTATAGAGGAGAAGACTCTGATGCGGAACCCAGCTTGCCACAGGTCACAGCAAGTGGCAAGGCTGGGGCAAGGCCCTGGTCCCTTCTCCTCTTTTCTGGCATTTTTATTCCTCATTGTCACTATTACTTTTCACCCTGCTCCTGGGACTGGGATGGTGAAGCAGCCCAGAGGAATTCAAGTCGGGGAAACCCAAGCCGTAGGGTGAGGGATGGCGGCATGAACCACTCCCTCCCACCCCACCCCACCCCCGTCCACTAACCTAGGTGTGTGAAGGTTGCAGAATCCAGGTCCTCTGGATCCCAGGCCAGTGCCCTCTGAGCCCACACTGCCCCTGCTCCAGGGCCTGGGCCTGGTTAGGACGCACAACCAGCATCCGCCCTGCGGGAAGGGCTGGGGGTTGGAATGGGGAGTTCTGTTCCTCATTTTCTCCTCCTCCCATGTTGTTAGCGCTGCCAGCCTGATTACACGTCTATCAGGGAGTTCTTGGTGCTTCTCAAACACCATTCCACTTACACAGCAGAAGCCAGCCCGGCTACAGGAAGAGCATGGGCTTAGAGTCCAAAAGACCTGAGTTCAAGTCTGACTCGGCTGTGTATTACACTAGGTGTCACTTCCTCGTGCTGATCACTATAGACTTGGCAGGGTTGTAAGGATCATGAATGCCAGATGCTGAGAGCATGGCCTGACACACAATAGGTGCTTCACTAATATGAGTTTCCTTCTTGTTCATCCTTAAAGGGAGACCCTGCAGGAAAAATGGGGCTGCATGACTGTTGCATGGTTCAAGGCCAAGGGTTAGGTTAGTACTTCCATTATTTGGGGGTCTGAACTTTCATCTCCAAAAGGAAAGTTCAATCAAATTTATGGAGTCTCTATTTTATTCCCAGGTGCTCTCCAGTCTGATTTAACTCACAAAATGGCTGCCTGAGGTAGGTGCTGGCACTCCTGCCATTCACACAAGAGGCAACTGAAGTTGCCTAAACTTCTAAACCACACAACTCTGCACACTCAGGTGTGAGCCGCGCCGTCTCCCATGTCACCGAAAGCTTCAACTGCTCTGTTTCTCCAAAGGGAAATGCTGCCAAGGCCCTCGAGGAGGTCAGTGGGATCCCTATTTCCTCTAGTTTTGAAACTGGAATGAGAGTGAAGCAAGCTCTCCCAGCTTCTGCAGCACATCAGCAGGGAATCAGCCGCAGCTTGGAGGGACGACAGGAAGGAGGAGGGTCGCTGATGTGAAGATGGAGCCTGGGTACTGTGCTGATGTTTCTGGAAGGGGCCTCATTTCAGGGCTGGGACATGCTGTATGATGGGAAATGGAAACGAAAGCCTGCAGGACCCTGAGGGAGGGTGCTTTGAAAACACCTGCTGAGGGTGCTCTCCATGGGTGGTTGGAGAATGTGTGGCAAGTCCTGACAGTGAGATGAGTATTGTCACCCTCTGATTGTGTCCTCACCGGGCACCTCCCCACGGTAGATGCTGTGATGGAACCTCAGATGCATCTGCTGTGCGTGACAAGGCTTTGGAGCAGCAGCTGCAGCCCCAAGAGCACCTGAGAAGCTCTCTGCTGCACGGGGACAGCCAAGGGACCACTCCTGCCCCTGCCCCCTTGACCCACCACCGCAGGTGTGCCGAGGCTGCTCCCAGCCATTACTGATGGAGCAGGTCTGTTCCCACGAGACAGCAAACTCCTCTAATGGTCTGAGGGCTCCCCTCACCTCACGGAAGCTTCCTCAGGACGGCCATCCCAGCCTTTTCCTTCCCAGCCCTCCATCTCCTTCTTCCTTTATATCAATACTTCACAGGTGTTTCCCCAATAAATCTCTTGCAGCCCTAATTCTGTGTTGGTATCTGCCTCCTGAAGGCCTTGAACTAACACAGCGGACATCAGTCCTATTTTTGCAGGTAAGAAAACGGTGGCCCAAGGGTTAACCTGGCCAAGTCCCAGGGGCGACTAGTGGGAGAGCTGGGTTTACTTCCAGGTGCGTCTGGTTCCCAAGTCAAGGCTTCCTGTTACAGCAGGCTCCCTCTCAAGCTATTCACACGAGTTTAAAGTTAGGCAAATCAGAGAGGGCAGGGAGCTCTGACATCTCAGTTGGCCCCTCATTAGGTAGATTAGAAACCGGAAACCCTGGAAGAAAGGATTAGTCGAGCGGAGCCAGCCCATCTGTGGACAATCATTTCCTCACTCTGGAGGTTGGACGAGGTCAAGGGAGGCCTCAGGGTGTGGAAGGAGGCTGGGCTGGACTGGGTCTCGGGCCCGGGGAAAGCAGGTTTGGGGGCTCATTGACTTTCTGTCCTGGTGGATGGAGATGTGTCTGAAGAAACTCCGGAAGGTTCCTGAAGGGGGCGCTGGTTGGGAAGCACAGGGAAGAGTTGTGAGTGTGGCCAGGACACTCTAGTCCAGCCTTGGGAACACCCCTGGGTAAGCCTGCCTTGTTCAAAGGCTGCCCCACCTCCTTCAGTTGGTTCATAAACCCCAAGGAGACAAACCTGGTCACGCTTACTTTCCGTCCTAATCTATTCTTTTTGACTTCAAAGAGTACTTCTGACCCAGGTTTCTTTCTTTCTTTTTTTTTAAATATAATAACTACAAAGTCACTTGGGTCTGTGAGCAAAGGTACACAGACACATTCGGATTTGAGTAACATTCACAGAACAACTGGTAATATAGCCATGAGCCACCTGGCACAAGGATGCATTCTCTCTGCTGTCCCAGTGGCATTTCTGTACGTCTGGAAGGAGGCCAGCCTGTCCTGGGTAATGTGCATGTGAATGCTTACGAATCCTGGGTCAGTGAGAGGTTGCTCTGCTTTGCATGGCTCCCCTTGGATTGGTGATGAAAAATATCTGTAACTGGCCTCGTTTCCTGCTTTCACCCCATGTAACTCCCATCTTTTCCAGGGAGGCTGGATGAAGACATTCTCGACAACGAATGTGGTATGTGCAGGCCAGGCCAGAGAGACTGACAGAGCCACAGAACCGACCTCCTGATGGAAACCCAGAGCACTGGCAGCCAAGGGCAGGGGCCACTTCAGAACCAGACCCAGAGGCTTCCGGCAGGAGGTGGTGGGCTGTGCGTCCTGATGGTGGCAGCAGAGACCATCTCAGGAGCCACCCAGCTCCCAGACCCCGACCAAATGTGGCCTGGATCCCATCAGTTTCAGTTCTCAGCACATCGGAAACTGAGTGTGGCCGTTTCCAGTGTGGCTCAGGAGACAAAGCATTTCTCAGACCTAGCACAACATACAGCCTTCCAGCTGCTAGAAAGGGTTCATGATCTGAAGGGCAGGTGCAAGTGGTGACAGCCCCTCTCGAGCAGACCTGAGACTTGCTACGGTCACCCGCTGCTTCCACCAGAAACTGGGGACTTGCCGGCCTGCCCAGCAGCCCCAGAAAAGCAGGACCAGGGCCCGGACTACTCAGAAAAGCCAGATGAGAAAATCTATGCATGTACTCTGCTACCAATGCAGATTGCCTGAAATATCTGGCAAACTAGCCAAAGAGGAAACTTCTTTGAGGGCTGGAGCGTGTGCTTTAGGGTAAATGTAGCTGCTGAGAAGGTCTGACTGTGGGGCCCCTAGACCTGGCCAGGCTATGAGCTTTCAAACAGCACAGCGTTTTAAAGCTGGACAAGCATCTTCTTTCCCAGTGCCCCTCTCATCAGGACCTTCACAGGGTCAGCGATGGTCCCACAGGACAGGGAGCTGTGTGTATGTGGAGGCAGCCAGGCTGGAACCCTGCTGAGTGAGGGCTTGGCCTGAGGATGGTGGAAATGCAAGACAGACACCAAAGGAAGAGGGGACTGTGGGTCCCAGGGGAAATCTTCCTTTCTGAAGTAATATGCTCTCGCCCAGCGGCTGAAGGCTCCTGTCAGTGCCAGAAGCATTCTCACGGTGCAGCTCCAGGCTTGTCCTCGCTTCTGTCTTGGCTGATGTTATTATGCATGGTTTAGGCAGCCCATGGGTTTTCTGCTTTGCAGTAAAATTTGATCTAATTTCAAATTCACATATAGCAGAAGGGCTGGAGACATCTTTTTAGACCTGCAAACCCAGGTGGGTGTGGCCTGTGGGGGTGCAGGTCAGGAAAGGGGTGGGGGAAGCTGTGTCACACACTTCTGGGTTCCTCGTGCTTGAAACAGTGCTTGGCACACAGTGAGCACTTGGGAGATGCTGTTGAGTCAAATGGATCCTGTCACCAGGTCTGGGCTGACTCAGGTGTGATTGGGACCCTGGGCAAGTCACTTCACTTGGTGACATACTCCCTACAGGTATGGTACATCTGCTCTGTCCTTTTATTTTATTGCTCCAGCTAGTCTGTTTTAAGGATGAATGATTAAAAATAGTAGGAATTCCCTTTGTAAACTAGAGCCTCTAGACACACGGAAAGAATGGAAAATTAGAAAGCTGTCTCTAATGTGATTCTCAAATATGACCATCATTAATAATTTATTGGCTAATAGTGCTACATTTTCTCATTATCATTCTTCTGTTTTAGAAGTGGGCAATCACAGCTTTAAGAATATCTGTGTGCACCCACGAGTGACAATAAATCTGCTTAAGGAAAGAATGAAATATGCAACCTGTAAACATTTTCACTTTTCCTGTACTAGGTCCTTGAGCAGACTGGATTCTCCCCAAAATGGAAAGTTTGCTTTGCTTATCAACTAGAAGGAGACAGGGATCTGGGAGAGGCAGCTCCTGGAAGGAATCCAGACTCCAGATTAAAAAGTATTTGTCAGAATACAATGCCAAGCAGACATCAGGCTGATGTTAAAGGCACACACCTCCTGTGCTGATGTTTGATTGACCCATAACATGAAGACAGGCTGGGAGACCTGGCCGCATAGCCTCCTCTGGGAAAGTTTCTGGGGCTTTGTTCCCCTTGAGATCAGGCTGAGCCCACAGTGTGACGTGAGGACCTGATGCCAGAGCAGGTTGCCTGAATGTGACTGAAGTGTCTGAACAGAGGAACTGCCATGCGCCCTCCTCTGCCTCAGCCGGGCATGGGCAGTGCCGTGCTTCCTCTGGGAGCAGGTGTGACTGAGGCCATTGGAGGGGTAGATAGGGGCAGGACCAGGGCCAGGTGGCCCTGTGAATAGACTCAAAGGGACAGGGACGGCAGCTTGGAAAAGAAAGGCCTGCTCTTGAGAGCGGTTTCATGTACCTCGGGGTTAGTGGATGGACTTGTTTTGTGTGGTTTCAGAGGACAGAGGTTAGAACCAAAGAGTGTAACTTACAACAGTGAAATTACAAGGCTCCCAGGAGAGCTGGAAACAGCCACAGAAGAAAGGGGCTGATAAGTGGGGAGTTTCTCACCCCTGAAAGGACTGAGGGGGCACCGGGATGATGTCTGTGTGTGTGGTGGGGCTGGAGGGAGGGCAAGCACAGTAAAGATTCCTGTGAGGCCTTCAGAAGAACGCTAAGAATTGAGATCAGGTGCATGGGGGAGACATGAAGGCAGCCCTGGGTCCCGAGTGATTGCATCAGGTTCTTTGTGGAGATGTCAGGGAGGAGGAGGGCTTCCTCAGTGGCTCAGACAGTAAAGAATCTGCCTGCAATGCAGGAGACCTGGGTTCAGTCCTGGGTTGGGAAGATCCCTGGAGAAACGAAATGGCTACCCACTCCAGTATTCTTGCCTGGAGAATTCCTTGGACAGAGGAGCCTGGTGAGCTACAGCCCAGGGGGGTTGCAAAGAGTCAGACATGACAGCAACTAACACTTTCGCTGCACTGAAAAAGGGAGGAAGAAGCCCCTAGAGTTTTCAATACAGGAGTGATGGGGGTGATGGTGGCAGCAAGGGGGCGCTGGTGGCCCGCTATTGTTGTGGTCTAGGGGAGCCCTTCCGCATGTACCTCGTGGGAGCAAAGGCAATGACAAGATCCACAAAGCACCACCGCACACCACTCATGGACAAGCAAAATGGGAAGGAGCCACAAAATAGCTAAATTCACATGTAACTTGTAAGCCTCAATTTAGTTATAAGAACTGTTTTTGTCAAGGCTAATAGAACTTCCTGCAAAATCAAAACTTCATCTTTTCTTCTTTCTTGAGGGAAGACAGGAGGAGGAGAAAGGAGCAGCAGTAAGGGTGACGGAAGAGAGGTGGGGAGGAAGGCTCCAAGGGCTCTGCTACTTGGAGGCTGTGGGTTTGGAAGCACCAGCTCTCCCCTTGCGGGGTGTTGGCGTCACGTGGCTAGAGAAGAGAGCAGGCAGGGGAGTGTCATGACATGAGCCCTGGGCTGGAAGACGGGTGCTCTGAGCTCACATTCTAACTGCCTCTCATGAGCTCTGGGGTCCTGGGGAAACCATGTCCCCTCCCCAGCCTGGTGTTTCTTTCTGCAAAATGCAGAGTTGGACTTGACTCCCAGGTCTTAGGAGTTGTGCCTTTATGATCAGTGGGCATCTGAGCCATGGCCTGATGAGCTAGGGACCAGGAGTGGGATAACCTGGGATTCTTGTTCTGCTGCCTTCTCTCCTGGGGCTCTGGGAACTCTGCAGCCCACTTGATGGGGACTGCCCAAGTGTGGGGCAAAGGAATTGTGGGCATGGGCACGCTGCCGTGGTGGTGGGCGAGGGGAGAAGGGAGCGTGTGAGGCACTTACAGCAGGAGGAGATGGGTACGCTGATGGCGAGGATCACCCAGGCAATGTCCATCTTGCTCAGGCAGATGGTGGCTCTGTGCTGGGGTTTGTTCCCTTCGGCCACGTGGGAAATGTTCCCCACTGTTCCAGGCTTCCAGGTCCCGGCGGGGACCAGACGGTTGAGGAAGTTTCCTGTGGCTGTGGACACCACTGTGGAGAGGGGACTGGGTACCCTGCTCATCGTGGTGGGTGTGGGGGTGGCCACAGCTTTCTCCTTGGCTTGGGAAACAATGCTTTCTGAAGCCCCTGTTGGGTGGGCTGGGGCCTGCGGGGCTGAGGATGTTCCCTGAGGAAGCCCCTCGGAAGGGACTGAGACACTGGCGTCAAAGGCAGCCTGGATGGGCCCCGTGGTGGCTGCGAAGACCCCAGAGTTGGTAGCTGGCGGTCTGCTGGTGCCGGGAGTGACAGTAAGCCAGGAGTCACTGTGGCTGGCGCCGTCCTGCGGGTCACCATGGGGGCGCTGGGAAGGCACTGGGGCACGCTGTTGGCTGGCAGGGGTGCCTGAGGCTGCTGTGGCTTCTGGCTCCCCTCCTTGGCTGGTGAAGGTGGAACCACCCCCCTGGTCTGCCCTGCTAAGGCTGGGCTTGTCCTCCACAGGCACTAGGGGGGTGGTGGGTGGTACCCACGAGGTCCTGCTGGGCGCCAAGGTTGCGGCCACTGTCTGGGGCTGTGGCGAGGAGGAATAACCCCAGAGCGGGTTCTTCGCGGTGGAGGTGGAGGGGTCAGGCTCCACAGACCCTGTGAAGTTGCCTTTGTAAATCTGAAAGATTTTCCCCAGGGGCCGCTTCTGCCCCAGATGTGTGGAGCTCTGGTTTCTTCCCCGCTGGCTTTCCTTCCTCCCAGCGTGACCACTGGGTGCCGCAGGGACAGGGCGTGGTGGACTGCCGGCTCCCTTTCGGGAAGAGCCAGGGGGCCTGGGGGGCCTGCGTGTGGTAGCCCTGGAAGGGGCTGTGGGGGGACGGCTGGTGGCTTCCCCTGGCTTTGTCAGCAGGATGGTGGGCACAGTCTCGCCCGGGGAGCGGCCCTCTGGATGGGGGGATGTGGTTGCCGGGGCAGCAGGAAGTGGCCCTGTGGACAGGGGGCCTTCAGAATGGGGGGTGGATGCTGTCGCCTTGATGGTGGAGATGGTGTTTGTAGGAGGGTGTCCATCTAGATGGGATGTTGTCGTTGCCATGGGAGCTGTGGCCTGTGAGGAGGGTCCATCAGGATGAGGGGTCGGTGTCACCACGGAGGCAGGGGTGGCCACCACGGAGGAGTGTCTGGTAGAACTGAGGGATGCTGTCACCATGGTGCCTGGGATGGTGCCTGAGGGGGAGACTTGAAGAGATTCCCTGGGAGATGGTTCCTGGGCAGCAAATACCAGTGCTTCAGTCAGCGCCACGGTCAGGAGGAAGCCTTGAGAGGGAGACAGAGAGCAGAGGTGAAATGCCCGGGAGCAGCTCAGCCCTGTGCCTTCCTTACCCATGAACCTGAAACACCTGGGAACTCAAGGGAAACAGTGGGAGGATCCCTGAGGTCCCCACTCACCGCACACAGGACCATGGGGACCGGGGGTATCTATCAGGTTGGTTCCACCCAGCACCCCTCCCAGAGAGAAGCCAACCACAGGGGAACCAGAGCAGCTAAACCAGCTAGGCCTGTCCTTTCCCAAGTGCCTCTGAAATGCCTCCGCCCTCCGCCCAAGGGCTGATGCTCAGACAGGCTGGAGGAGGGGCATGGAGGGAGCCTTGTGGCCGCTCAGTGACTGCTGGCCTTCTGCACCAGGGAGCGGTCCACAGTGTGACCGCAAGGAAGCCAGCAGCTCTGTGCGGGCCGCCCTGAGTCACTGAGCAGGGCTGGGGTGGGCAGAGCTGACCAGCACCCACGCCTTTTCAGACTCCTGCATTTATGAACTAGACATGGGTACAAACGACAGACCTCTGCTTGTTCAGGCCCACCCACCAAAGAGGTAAGGAGGCTCTACCCCCTCCTTGACGCTGGAGACACAAAAATGAACAGGGCCTGGGTGAGGTCATATAAATCCACAAACAATCCTAAAATAAGGCAGAGACATCTCGGTGCCATTGGTGACCAACAGGCAGAAGGGGACGGGATTCAGAGGGTGACCAGATCCGGTGCCTATAAAACACTTAGCACAGAGCCTGCAGGAGAAGGTGCGGTCCATAAACACCAGCTGGTTGTATGGTTGTTATGTTAGCTGCTTGTCCTATGTGCTCATGAGGCTGAACTCTGGAAAACCACTGGTGGTGCCTGGCCTTCCACAGTAGAAGGAGCCCTTCTGAGCACTGACAGGAAACTATGGACTTTGCGTGATGGTGAGTATGTGTGCTTTTGTTCACTGAGAAAAATGCACAAGGACAAAAGCCTATACATTTAAAAACTCTTCTAAAGATGTGTGGATTTTATTAATCACAACAGCATGTGCCCATCTTTAAAAATCATACCTCAGATCAATGTGATATGTAGGATCTATTCGGATTATAAATGTGAAGACTGGCCACCCCGTACAACCCAAGGGCTAGGAAGAGCTGCTTCCTACCACCAAGGGGGGCTTGACAGACCTCTAAAGTCCGATTGTGACCTGAGACCTCCCCCATTCACAGGAGCCCCCTGCTCAGTCACTTTCTTGCCCTTCCTTCAGCACTGCCAACCGCCCAGACTAGCCCAGGTAGAGATGGGCCTCTGACTGGCCACCCTTTCGGGGCCTCCCTTCCCCACAGATTCCAGCAGGATGAACGGTCAAAGCCGTGGCCCTGGTGGTGATTCTGGGGAACCTGGGGTGATCAGCAGAGCTGACAGCGGAAGACAGGGGCTCTGGCGAGTTTCTGGAAACAGAGATGGGGAGGAGACCTCCTGATGTGGCTTTAAAGCAAGGTTCAGGGTCACCACTGAGGCCTCCTCCACTTAGGGGAGGGGCTGGGGTGGGTCAGTGCTCCCACATCCTGCGTGTCTGACTTAGTGGGTGGGGGAGGCTCAGGGACGGCAGATGGAGTAGAGACTATAGCACTCACATCTCCAGGACCAACAATTCTCCCTAAACAACAGAGTTTCTCAACACTTTCATTCATAGTTTAGCCCATACACCAACAGTGTTTTCTCCTTATCTGGGTCAATCCTAAAATCTGGCTACTGAGCATCACTCTGGCCCTGTCTTTCATGCTTGATTTAACCCTCGATTTAACCACCTGATGGGGCTGGAAGTTGAGGCTGAGGGAGATTAAGTAACGTGTTCAAAGCCCCTCAGTAGAGAAATATGTGACACCCAGGCGTATCCAAACTGCACAGAGTTCCTGGCCACCCTGCACATACGAGGCAGGAGAAGAGGACAGGAAGTTGCAGCTACAGAAGGAATTATGTGCTCAGGGTTACCGGAACCCCCCCTCTGGCAGTGTAGCACCACAGGACAATCTATTCCTAGAGCTGGTGGTCGTGACTGCTGAGGTTTTAAGGGACATTCCCTAATAAGCCTCTTCTGGCTCACGAGCACCCTGGTTCAACATGTGTTGAACACATTGCCCTCAAAGCCACATGTTGACACCCTAGCCCTAGCACCTCAGGATGGAACTGTGTGTTAGGGCCTTTGAAGAGCTGATTAAGGCAAAATGAAGCTGATGGGGTAGGTCCTGACCCAATCTGAATGGTGTCCTTATAAGAAAAGGAGCCCGGGACACAGATGCAAAGAATGCCCGCACACAGACAGGCAGTGAGAAGCCAGCTGCCTGCAAGCCAAGAAGGAAGGAGTCAGGGCACTCCAACCCCGCTGGCACCTAGATCTTGGGGTTCCAGCCTCCAAAACTGTGAGGTGATAACTTTCTGTGGTTTAACCCCCCCAGCATATGGTACCTTGTGTGGCGGACCCAACAGACTGATACCCATGTCTTACCTTAGAGATTCCTGAAAAATGAGAAGTGGAGACTGGGGCTTGTGTGCAGGGAGTTTATTTTGGGAAGTGGCCCTAGGGGACAGCCATGGGGGCCTGAGATGAGTGAAACAGGGAAAGTCAATCCTAGGGTGGGTTATGAACTGATCAGGGTGCAACTCAAATCTGCTGGGCGTCTCTGAGGAGCTGAACACCTCTTGCCGGCAGCTCCCCTTCCCGCTGCCAGTGCTGCTCACCCACCTCCTCGCTCCTCCATGAGGCCCACCTGATTGAGTCAGAGAGGCTCTGGGCAGGGGCTGGCTGCTCACACCTGTACCTGGCTGGTGGCTGCCACAACAGCTGGGGTTAAAACTAAGGGCCCAGAGGATTCCTAGGGCGGAGCACAGATGTGCTCCATACAAGCCGAGGCCCACGACCAAGAACAAGGACGCTGTTGCCTTCCAGCAGCAGCATCAAGGGCAGCCCAGAGTTTTCCGAGACGCCCCCAGGGACCCAGGGACAGGCCAGAGGTAGGAGATGGGTAGCTCAGCCCCCAGGGGGAAATTCTGCAGCCTCTAGAGGCAGAGGGCCTAATGCACCCTGCTCTTCAAAATACTCAGGGAAAGAAATTCCCTTGACTTTCCCACCATGAACATCCCTGAGGCTAAAATCCTCCAAGGTGGGAAGTATATAACTGACTGGAGTTCTTCTTCCTGCAAGTCTTTCAGTGGAAGTAAACATGTGCGTCCTTGCTGCAGCTCTTTCTGGTTGCCAGCATCCCTTGAAGGTATTTTCTCTCTAGGAGGACTGTTAGGGCCCTTTTCTCTTCAGACTTGAAAGCTTTGATACAATAAATGGATACTGCCATCATGGGTGCACAGGGATTTCACCTAGAGGATAATATTTCGCTGTCACAGTGAGAAGGGCACTCGAAGCAACTTTGTCCAGTCCCCTCATTTCACAGAAGGGGCAACGGAAGGAGTGAAGTGACTTGTCCAAGAACACAGCTGGCCGGGACATGGCGTGGATTACAGCCATCATTTCAAAGCAACTTTTCATTTGTATCATAAAACTGCTACACCACCACAATGCCCAAATGCCTCCTTCAACATCCACTGTCATCTTCACTATGGAAATCACCTCTCCTCTTTGGCACAAAAGGTTAAGCAGTGAATGCAAAGGCTTACACTATCACAATTACTGCTCCAGGCCTTCAACCCAGGGCTCCCCTAACACATGCAGATTTCCACTCCAGGCCCTTTGTGCTGGCCTGCTCACTCCCCTCCCCACAATCTGGGGCTACTGCCTCTTTGAATATAATTTGCATAGATTTGCATAATCGACTTTGCAGGCTCTAATTCCAAATATGTAGGCGAGACTATAACTAAAATCCTACTTGATGTGTTTTAAATGAAGAACCGATTTTTAAAGGATGCCAGAATAAGGACAAGTGTAGGGGGTGGGAAACAAAGATTGATGGGTGCTCAGATGTGGCAGGAAGGCCTCCTCCTCCCTGCAATTCCAGTGCCCAGTGATCCCAGGACCCATGGGAAGGAAAGGCCTTCCTCCTTCCGTTTATTTGGTTGGCTGCCGACAGCCCATATTGGGCATGATACTTGCATCTGGTCAAGGCAAGGAGGGAATTGGTGAAGAGAGAAATGACTAATCTGTGCTGAATGCTTCCTGCATGCCACGTGCCATTTGAAGGGCTGAGCCTGTTCCTGACACATTTAATCTTCATAATAACCTGATGAGGCAGGTACTATCATTAGCTCCCCTTTGCAGCCGATGAAAAGCAGCACAGAGAGGCACAGGAAGCTGCCTCCTTCTACACAGCCTGAGATAGTCAGTTGTGATTTGAACCTGGCAGCCTGGCCCCAGAGTCCACACACTCAACCATGTTCACTCACCATTCCACTCTGCATATTCAAAAGCAATGGTTCAAAATCTTTTGGGAGTTGATTTTCTATTACTGATTTTTTGACCTTTCTTTCCTCTAGCTTGTTTTCTTCTAACTTCATTTCAGGGCTCTGTATTAACATTTAGGTTTTTAACAAGTTAGTTAACTTTATTTTGCAATTTAGCTTCTGCATCTGATGTTTCAACAACAACAACAAAAAAGAGAATCCATGCACACCAAGTTTGACCATCATGAAGTCTGTTTTCTACAGAAGAACCAGGCTCTTCTCATTTCAAGACTATTGTCTTTTAATTGGAAGGGGTGCTAGGGCTCCCTGGTATCTAACTCCTTCACTGACAGATGAGAAGGCTGAGGCCCAATGAAGTAGAATCCTCACTCTGGGCCACATACTATGACGCACCAGCTCACAGGGCTCTCTTCACATCACTGTGGGCCTGGTATTCTAGTGCTCCATCCTCTGGACTTCTTTTAGAAACAAAATCCTTTTGTTTTAAAGGTTAAAAAGCTTGTCATTCTTAAGAGCATGGTTTCTGTCCATGCTCAGAAATAACTGCGCATCACTGACTTTAGGGTGAGCTGGGTGACTGCTCTGAAGAGGTACTCATGCCTGTGACC